TTCAGTCTTTCCGGTGTTCAACGACTTATTTTAATTGGTGTTATGCACACCGCGTTTTTGTCATTCACAGTAGATGACGTGTGTACTACACGTGTACCAGGTGAGTGAGTTAGTGCACTTGACCTAAGATGTGATGGGGGGGGGGGGGTGTCATCATATTCCCGTTATTTTTCTCATTTTGCAATCAGCCGCTGTCATCACGTGGTACCTGTCCACATTCATCCCGTGGTACCTGTCCTTTGTCATCACGTGGTACCTAACCACTATTATAATGTGGTACCCGTCAGACTTGCTTTAAAAAGTAAGTAATTGATCGCGGATTACATCAAATGAACCTCTACCGCGTCTTAATTATGGCAGATTGACCGTATTGTTCCTAATAATTGTATGTTGTAGCCAAAATATTGACGCTATTGTTCCTTATAAGTGTATGTAGTAGCCGGAATATTGACCGTATTGTTCCTAATAATTGTATGTAGTGGCAGGAATATTGACCGTATTGTTCCGAATAATTGCATATAGTGACCGTAATATTGACCGTATTGTTCCTAATAAGTACATGTAGTAGCAGGAATATTGACATATTGTTCCTAATAAGGGTATGTAGTGGTAAAACTTACCATATTATTCCTAATAAGTGTATGCGATTTGACAGTATTGTTTCTAAAAAGTGATTGCAAAAATAATGAGCAGTATTTTAATAGTAAGGGGCAATTAACATCGGATACATTGACCGGCCTCCGACCACAAGCGTACGACTTGCGCAGAGGCGTAGCGAGGGGGGGGGGGGACATATGTCCCCGGGCGCCGACCTTAGGGGCGCCAAAATGGGTTGGAAAAACAAATTGAAAGTTTGAGGGGTGATGCAAATCAAAAGTTTGTCCCCGGGCGCCGGGAAGGGTCGCTACGCCTCTGACTTGCAGACCGATCGACCAAATAATTTCTAATACAGCAGAAGTTACTTTCAGACTATCTCTGCTTCAGACCTTTCTACATAAAAAAGTTATCTACACTTTCTACAGTTGATGTGTCGTTGCCTTGACAACCAAATTAAAACTGATTTTTTTTTTTAAATTGTAATTGATATTGGAAAAAAAAAATATGACGTATTGGATTCCTATCTTCGGAAGGACTAATTAGATAATTAAAATTGTTTAAATTGGAACGCTTTTGTCAGATTAGAAAGGGGATCAATGGAATCATTTTATCTAAAGACGCAAATCGGCTGCATGACGTCACCCAATACTAATTAGATTCGCTTTAATGATATTTATTTGAACCGTAATCTGCATAAAAATATTTTTATACACGCTAGTAAAAAAATGATGGTTTAATTGATGTTATTTGCATAAAAAACTGTGATTGAATTTCGTTAATGATATGACGTTAAAGCGGTAACGTTGCAATCGTCTGCTACCCTAGAACATCTAGATGATTGATACCAGTGGCGGGAACCGTTTTTACGTCACTTCCGTTTTCTGGCATGTTTCCAGAGTTTGAAACAGATTTTGGCGGTTTAATGAGACGTGTGAAAGATGTGAAATAGTTTGCTGTTGTGTTATGATGTTATTGTGTGAAATAATGTTTTTTTTATTATTTGAATTTCTGTTGTCATTGTGTGAAATAATGTTTTTATCGTTTGAATTCCTATTGTTATTATGTGAATACTTTTTTTATCATGTGAATTCCTGTTGTGATCAGTTGCTTCCAGGCATCTCTTCGGGGGGCTAAGTCCCCCCGAAATTTTTACCCCCCCCCCCCCCCCGAACGAAATGAAATTTATATAATTTATATAGAATATATATACTTTTAACAGTGTCCGCCCCCCCCCCCCCCCGAAGAAAGTTTACCGCCCCCCCCCCCCCTCCGAAAATTTCCCCCCGAAAAGTGCCCCCCGGAGAAAAAAGTCTGGAAGAAACACTGGTTGTGATTGTATTAAAAAAAAAGTATTTTAATCGCATCAATTCCTATTGTTATTGTGGGATTTACTATTTGTATCGGCTGAATACCTTTTGTAGGACAATTTTGTCGTTTATATATCGCCTTGGTTTGTTGTAGACCCACGACAATTTTTTTTTTTCCATATATAAAGTTGTGGTACACCGTCGTTAAATAGTCACAAAAGATGATTGCATTGACTGCTACGAAAAGTTTTTTACTTATATTCTTGACTGACAGATGTACGTGAATATGAATGAGTGCTGTACTTGGTATCATATATTACTTTTGCTATCTATTCATTTCAATCGGGATCCACAGTGTTGTGTGAACTTTCGTTTTGATTTTATCTTCTGTGGACAATCCACAAAATCGTTCTACTATACAGAGATATAAACAGACAAAACACCGTAAGTCGAAACGATTTCAATAATTTAAAAAACGAAACGAAATCATCATATATAAAACGTTACATGTATTAGCACAGCATTAGCAGCTATTTGTTTGGACTAGTAAACTGTCAACAATATTGGAATAGTTCATCTCGACATGATTTGTTTGGACTAGTAAACTGTCAACAATATTGGAATAGTTCATCTCGGCATGACGTAAGAAGCTAGGCTCTGTGATTGATCGATCACAATTGCCAGTTAAAGATATCATCTCTCGCCGTATTGTTCGCCGGGTATTCATTCACCTATTGACAAATACATGCACTTTGCTCCGGCCTTGAAGTGCAATCAATTGTCCGCTTATTATTACGGCCGAGTTTTTAAACCACCGGTCAACTCTACTTCACCTGGTCTCTTGGTGTTGACAGGAATCTTTACCTGCATCTTCATTCACACATTTATTTGCATCTCTGTATGTGTGTATGTGTATTTATATGAATATATATGTATATAATATATATATATATATATATATATATATATATATATATATATATATATATATATATATATATATATATAAAGATATATATAAATACACGTATATGCATATGTACATATATATATACACACAAATATATAGACGTATACTTACCCTACGTTTCAGCTTGCTTATAACAACAAATTGATAACGAATAACGTGCTAGATAACAGTTGTGGGTTAAGTACACTTATGAGGCTGGTGTATTGATCAGAACAAGTTTAAGTTTCTGGTAACTGGGGGAAGAGTTTTTGTAGATGTTTCACATCTCTCTATAAAGATTTGTTTAACCCTTCTCTTTCTTTGTCGTCTCAAAAAGTCCAGAATTATTGACGTTCATGGGATGGCCTTCATAACATATGTTTATATATATATATATATATATATATATATATATATATATATATATATATATATATATATATATATCTTGAGAGCTGCAAAATAGAGATCGTGTTATCGCCAATGAGATTTGTGGCCCCACTACTTAAAAAAAACAAATGTATTCTGATTTGATTGGCTAGTCTCTAGACCTCATTGTGTGAGGACCGCTGTGTTGTGAACATTTTGTGAAAACTAAGGTATTAACCCCCTTTTAGTACACCTGTGATAAACTTATCTAAGTAAAGTCGAGTCCTAATGCGGTTTAACTGACTTCGTTGGTAGTGTGGTAAACTGTGTGTGAGGGGCCTTGTGAGGGGGGTTGTGTGAAGGGTGAGGTGTGTTTTTTTTGTGTGTGCTCCGGAAGAAAGTGATATATCACTGAGTGAAAATAACACAAAGGTCAACGTGGGGTCAAGAAACATGTTTTGTGTCCCTTGGACCAAGGACCGTAATCCCGGAGGCGTGTCATGTGTTTGTCTCCCTTGATTCAAGGGACGTTACCTTGTGATTTAGGTGTGTCGCCTCCAATGCCACCTCAACTTTTTCATGTCACTACAAAACTCTTAAGTTTCACAGTTTTTTGTGTGGTATTATATTTAAGAGTCTAAATTTACCGTAACTTTTTAAGCCAAGAAATTTTGTTTTTAATTTGGTGTTGACGGTAAGACTAGTGATAAACTCCTCCGCGCAAGTCACGGTGACTCGACCTCAACGTGATCTATACTGACCAGTAGAACACTAAAATAACACGTCACTTCCTGGTTTGGTTTGTGAGTGACGCCTCGTGGCTTTATGATGTCTGAACGTACAGTGGGATGTACCGGTCTAGTGGGCCTGGAGTGTAGTTTGTGTCAAGTCGAGTGGACAAATTAAGAATTTAATAACCATACTCGACGTTGGGCGTAAAACCTGTGAAAAATTCTCTGTATAGATGATTCATAGGTATCTTGTTCGAAGTGAAACAGTTCGAAGCTCGAAGTGACCTCGTTCGGATCTCGAAGTGACCTAGTTCGAAGTTCGAATAGACCTAGCCCGAAATTCTCCCGTTCGAAGTTCGAAGTCAGTGTAATCGAAGGTCGAAGTGAAACAGTTAGAAGCTCGAAGTGACCTAGTTTTAAGTTCTCCCGTTTGAAGTTCGAAGTGAGTGTGTTCGAAGTTGGAAGTGATCCCTACAGAGTGTATTGTGTTAAGCTACAGATCTTCCATACATAAATTAGCTGTTCTTGCTTTGTCAGCATTTTTCGTTGATACATGGATGACGCGTTGAAAAAAATATATGTTATCGTATAAACGTTGATATTCAATGTTGATAGGTCCATTTTGTTAGCTGATTTGTTTAAATATTTGAATTAGGCTGTAAAACTAGTTAAATTCAGGTTTCCTGTTTTGTTCCGTAGATTTGCCTAGATTTGCTTTTTATCAAAATGATGGAAAAAGCGGATGTTTTGAAGTACATAAATAAACATGGCGTTTGTGTAAGTGTTTATGGTTAATTGTTGTATCAAGAATAGTTTTTACTTTCTCCAAAGATGTGAACTCCTATACACAATGGGTTAACAGATAAACCACTTCCAATAAAAACATGTTCATGAAATTAACTTCATTGACGTAACTCTTTGGTTTACTTAAACGTTGTGTCGCTCAATACACGATGCTTCCTTAGCCTACTCAGGGAATTCCCGGACCTATGACACTAGTGAGGATCTCCTTTTAACAGTACCGTCGGTGTCCAACAAGACATTGCAACCATTGGTTGCCTCCAGGGGCGGGTCGCTGCTGATATGGGCTGTACGCCCAGCATCCACGTCAGTCAGACCGGCGTCGTCTACTGTCGGGAGTCAGAAGACTCCAACTCGCCCCACCCGTCCTCCCTCAACGCCACCTTCCACGCGGCCCACGCCCACGTGATCCGGGGCGACACCTCTGTCACGACGGTGGTCGGAGAAGATCACGTGCTGACCACAACGACGACAGCCTGCACGACGTCCACGGCCATCGCCACCGTGTCGTCCTCCCGCTCCTTCGGCAAGGCCAACAACCGGACCTCCAATGCCTCGAACCCGGGCGGGCTATGCGTCAGTCTATCAGAGGCGGAGACACAGACAAGTCGACAGAGCATGAAGGTAGGTTTTTCTTACACCCCCAGCTCAAAACTTCCACACACTAATCAGATTTCAGAAAAGTTGCTGAAGAAATTTATTTCGTTGCTGTGTGCGTGCTAGAAACGCGGCCACATATAAATACCACATTCAGTGCGTTAAGTGAGCGAACATTCGGGTTAATTGTGCAATACAATCTGACTAATTGTGGTAAATAGCCCAGAAATATCTTAATAAAAGGGCAGGTGCTGGGTAATATCTAGCGTGCTTTGCCAAAAGAACTTTCTAATTATATATATATATATATATATATATATATATATATATATATATATATATATATATATATATATATCTGTGAACAAAAAATTACCCTGGGTTGAGCTAAATGCTACAGCTAAACTGATATTCTCTATCAAAGCAGCGTTGATCAAGGAATCCAACGCTTAATCCCCGTTGAGCTGAAACCTCAACATCTAACCCCCGTTGAGCTAAAATTCCAACATCTAACCTCAAGTGAGCTAAAACCCCAACATATAACATCCGTTGAGCTAAAATTTCAACGTTTAACCTCCGTTGAGCTAAAACTCCAACTTCCCCTCCTCCGTGGAGCTAAAAAAACATCTAACCTCCAATTAGCTAAAATTCCAACATCTAACCTCCGTGAAGCTAAAACTCTATCGTTTAACCACCATTGAGCTAAAACTAAAACATCTAACCTCCGTTGAGCTAAACCACTCACATTCCACACCAGTGACGTTCGCCGTGTTATCGTATTCACCTTAAGGCCAATGACGTCACGTTAGTCCATCTTTCTAGCGTCTACCCTGTGCTATTGATCTGTTATTTATGGCCACAGAATCTAGAACTATAGAAATAGCTCAAACGAAATGATTAGTCGACGCCGAGTCTGTTTTCTTCCCTATTCCCTGATCTATATTGCTAAGTGCTTTTTTTTTTAGGAAGCAGCAAAACTTTTTTTCCACGTAAATTAATTTTTTTAAAGTTAATTAGCAATCCTGGACGATATTAAAAAAAATGGAATTGCTTGCCAGGCTTTATAATGTAGGTTTTATTTGATTTCTTTTGGTTTATGGCTTTTAATAAATGATATTTGCCGCGGTCCTTTTTTCCAGGGCTTTAATTAAACATATTTGAATATCGTTGTGAGTTGCCTGCCTGTTTCTTTATATGTGTGTTGCCTCCCTGTTTCTTTATTTGTGAGTTGCCTCCCTGTTTCCTTGCTTGTGAGTTGCCTCCCTGTTTCTTAATATTTGAGTTGCTTCCCTGTTTGTTTGGTTGTGAGTTGTCTTTCTGTTTCTCTTGAATGTTATCTCTTTGTTTCTCATAATTCAGTGGTTGACTCGATGTTTCTCTAATATCATTGACTTTTGTTTTCCTTTTGTTGCTTATTGCACTTAATAGTGCATTATCCCATTAGTTTCATACTTATGTGTTCATTAATTAACAATTAACAAAGTAGATATGACTCCCCATTATTCGTGACTCTAACTTTGACAATTATAAGTGGCTGCATAGTATCTGTAACTCACTCCAGTAACTGTCGGTAGTATGTAACTCACTTTTATCTATGACTCAACAGTATATGTGACTCCATTTGTGACTCCATATGTGACTCCTCAGTAAATGTGACGACGAGTGTCTCCTCACATAGTGCATGTACTCTGATGCTAGATCAAGCCGCCGACGCCTAAACAATCCACCCACCACCACCCGCCCACTAGCTTACTTCCAGGCCATTACCTGCCCACTACCCGCCCACCACCTGCCCACCACACGCCCACTAGCAACCCACCCCCTTCCACTACCTGTCCACCACCTACCCACTAGTTCACTACCAGGCCATCACCCGCACACTACTAGCCCACTACCTCCCCACTACCTCCCCACCACCCGCCCACCACCCGTCCACTACCTCCCCACTACCCGCCCACTACCTCCCCACTACCTGCCCACCACCCGCCCACCACCCGCCCACTACCCGCCCACCACCCCCCACTACCTGTCTACCTTGACTAATCAATGTACCGACTAATCAAGACAAACGATATCGTGATGTCTCCCCTCAGTCCTCAACCTATTTCCGTCTATCTACACCCAGGAGATGCGTAAAAAAATGTGATTTAAATCCTCACATTTGTCTCAGAAACACCATAATGCTGGTCACAAGGGAGAGCACTGTCACGCCCAGTACAGGTGAACACATGATATGGTATTTGAGACAGGGACACAGTAACAAGCCTATGTGAAGCGGGACATAGCAGCCCCTAACTCACAAAATTGTGCGACTAATTAAGCTTATCAATGAATTTAGGGGAAATTTTTATGAAATATGAACAAAATTACATTTTATCTCGAATCAGCTTCAATGACCTCGGCATACAAGTGGATATTGTGGTAAGAACTAAGCTCAGCCGCCTTTACTCTAACGTAGGTCTGGTTTCCATCTGGGTGGAAAAGCCTAGAGCTCGGGATCCGAACTCGAAGTTTTTTGGGTTGGCAGACGAAAGATCTACCACCTAACCACGTCGTTCCATAAATTACATCTTCTAATCATATCGAATTTCTTCCGGTTTTGTTTTGTTTGTTTGTTTGTTTGTTTTTGTTTTTTTCGTAATAATCAAATAGTATACAGGAAAATAAACGTGTTGTGAAATTACTCAGTGAAAATGAAGCTTGTAGTTTTAGAACTCTACAGATCTTTGACCTAGGAAAATAGATTGTAAGTTCAGAAATCTTCCGGAGCTTGTAAAACTTGTGTCTAGGTCTTGAACTTGTGTCTAGGTCTTGAACTTGTGTCTAGGTCTTGAACTGAAACTCCGTGACCTATGAAATCTTATTGCAGATCCCGAAGAAGTAGCGTCCCCCTAACTACTCTAAAAGAGTATAAACTTAGTGCAATACTAACATGAAAAATAGCAGTCGAGCTTCAGTCGTTTAGAGTCTTCAATTAAATGGAAAAATTAAAATGTGAACGATATGGATTGTCAGTTGCTCTGAACTACATTCACTGACAGTTGTACGTTGGCATAGCAGTAAAAAATTAAATTTGAACTATATTCACCGACAGTTCTGTTTGATCTAGCAGTAAAGGAATTGAACTATATTCACCGACAGTTCTGTTTGATCTAGCAGTAAAGGAATTGAACTATATTCACCAACAGTTCTGCTTTGATCTAGCAGTTAAAAATTTGAAATATATTCACCAACAGCGCTGTTTTACCCTAGCAGCCAAATAAAACAGTGAACTATTTACATTGTATCCCACCAACTCCCACGTAAACCATAAAATAAAAAAGTAAACTTTCCCCAATTTCACCCGACGGCTGATGCCTTAATTAAAACTGACCCAATCGTCCACCCCCAGGGGTAAATCCCAGTGGACCCCCGGGCGAAAACACGAGTGTCTTGCCCTACCGTGCAGTAGATTAGACTGCAGGAGAGATTGTGGACGGACCTCTGCTAATCTCTTCTCTTCCCTTATCGTAGGTGGCCAGAACTCGCTTGATAATGATTTTATTTTTGTGTTGGTGAAGTGTGTGAGAGTGGCCTCCCTTAAGGCGTGGAATCAATTGGACGGGATTTTTTAAAACTTGGTGCCTGTTGGCTTGAATTCACTGGATGGAATGACGTCAGAATCTGGGACTGAAATGGGTGACAGAGGATAATGGGGTGCTGCCTATATGAGGCTGTATTCATGAACAGGTGGTGTCTATAAAGGGTGGCATTAATGTAGTAGCAGTGTCTATATAATGTGGTATTAATACAGGGGTGGTGTCTATATAATGAACATTAATGTCGTGCTGGTGTCTATATAAGGTGGTATTAATACAGGGGTGGTGTCTATATAATGAGCATTAATGTCGTGCTGGCGACTATATAATGTGGTATTAATACAGGGGTGGTGTCTATATAATGAGCATTAATGTCTTGCTGGCGACTATATAATGTGGTATAACGAAAATTGTGATATCAGGTCTAAAACTGTGTCAAGATTTTACCACACTGTGTTCAGTATTGTGACATTCCTGTCAATATTTTAACACACTGTGTTCAGTATTATGACATTCCTGTCACACAGCTCATTGCTTCGTCGTTTGACTTCACCGAAATTCTTCCCGAGGAGAGAACGGAGGCTGGTGGGGTGTCGGGGGGGGGGATAATCTTGAAAATAAAAAGCTTGGGTTACCATGGCGACGGCACTCTAATGAAGTGCGACCCAGCCCGCGGTTGTCTACAGTGTTATTTTGGTTGTAAAGTGGGTCATCGGAACATACTGGAATCGAGTTTGTCGGGGGGGGGGGGGTGGGTGGCGGTAACAAGATCTCCCCGCAAAAAGAAAAGATTTTATATCAGATTTTATATAGTTCAATGTGGGGCTAGGGAACTGAGTACACGCCTCAAAATTTGCTCTCAACTGAAATGATAATCAGTTAAACCAAAAAATATCTTCAATCTCTGATTAATGAACAGTCCGATCGATGATAAAATCTCTGCGTTAACGATGTGATTTATCGATTGTTTTTTTTTCCTTTTTATTGGTTTTTAGACGTTGATTAAGATATTACAAGCACCCAACTGATTGCTAATAACAGCAATTTAAAATCTCCTATAATCATTGTATAGATACAATGTGTTTTAACGAAACAAAAAATAAAAGGTTGACTTCTTTAATAAATGTCGATAACTTCGTCCGTCGAGGTTAATTTAATTTTTTTTATTTCTTTCTATTAGACTTTATTAGAAGAAGTGGGCACATTTTTATATAAGTATGTATATTCAATTATTAGAAGCTATAATCATGTTTTTATCAGGTTTCACTCCATTTTCGGTGACCGAAAGCGGTACTTCAGTCTGTTTCCGATTTCTAATAATTTGATAATTTTTTTTAACATACTCATAAAGCCTATTCTAATAACTTTTTGCCTTAATGTTTTCTGAAAAAGAAACAGCAGTTTTTCCACAAAATTGCCTACAAATTATATGACCAGATCAAGAAATCT